ATCCACCCCCCCCTACCGCCTCCCTCACCAACCCTCCCGGCAGCTCCACCAACGTCTGGGGCGGCCTGTTCCTGGCTTTCATATACGGATACCTCGTCCTGAGGGGCGCCGTCATGATTGGGGACGGCGGGGAGTGGCTTATGGAGCTGAAGCTTGCGCCATCTGTCATCGGAGGTGAGCCGCGCGTGTGGGGGCACGCGGCGGCCGCCGCCCTCGCGCCCCTCTCTCGTCTCATGGCCCCGAGCGGGCATCGGCCGCGCGCACGCGCGGCACCCGACGGGCGGCCCTGACTCCAGGCACCCGCTTAAAAATGTGCCGCCGATCTCCGTGTTCTCAAGCGGCGCATTGGCTGCGGCAGCATCGCCCAGATTTCCGAGGTTGTGAGCCCTCTTCCACCCCCCTTCACCCTTCACAATGCCATGCCTCGTAATCCCCCCCTCAGGCCTCGTCCTGCCCATCATCGGCGCCCTGCCTGATGCTCTCATCATCATCAATTCAGGACTCCACGAGTCGCGCTCCGCGGCGCGCGAGGAGGTGCGGAAACGCAGCGGGCGGTACCGAGTGCAGCGAGGTGGCCGGCGAGTCATCGCCCAGCAGCCCCAGCCGCACAGGGGTCGAGGCGTGTGGCGCATTGGCCTGCCCCCCTCCCACACCCCGCCCCCTGCTGCTGCACGTGCCTTGACCTCACTGCTTACGCTCGCGCATGCACGCGCAAACCAACATGCTGATTCATGCGCAGATGCACATGCACATGACCCCTCAGCACTGCATTGCCCACGCAATTGTCAACAATTCCACGGGCCTCCCCTCACAATCACCCTGTCGCGCGCCAACCCGCGCCTCGCGTGCAACACGGAACCAAGATCTCGGTCGGCATGGGCACGCTCGCGGGCAGCACCGTGATGCTGCTGACTATCGTGTGGGGCGGCAGCGTCCTCCTGGGCCGCTGCGACCTGGATGACGTCACCGGCGCGCAGCGCGACCGCACGCGCACGCGGCCGTGGTTTGACCTGGTCAACACAGGGGTCAGCACCGACGCAGCGACGCCGCGCAGCGCGTGGGCAATGCTGGCGGCAGCGGGGCTGTTTGTGGTTGTGCAGGTGTGTGTGGGGGGGGCGGGGGGCGTGCGGCGCGAAAGAAGGGTGAGGCAGGGGCGAGCGGCAGGGATCTTAGTGGTCGTGCAGTTGGGAGGGCGGCCCGGCGAAGTGGGAAGAGGGGTTTAGTGGGAAGAGTGCGGCAGGGGTGGGAAGAGGGGTTGTGAATGGGAGGATGAGGGGGTGCCAAGGGGAAGAGGTGGGGGGTTTCGAGGGCTGGGGGACAGGGCTGGGGTTTGGCGGCAGGGGCCACAAAGGAGGGCTGGGCCCGCTCGCAGGAGATGGGGGCCCCGCGCGGGGCTGGCGGCATGCCAGGGTGTCCGCGGGGCCGCCTCCGCCCGCCCTCGTTTGCACTTGCTGCCCTGACGCTGGCAGCCCGTGGCTGGCTGGCGGAGTCTCGCTCGCGACATGCCCCCCGGGCTGCCCACGCCGCCGTGCCGCTCGACGGAACGCGGCGGGCGGCAGCAGCCCCCTGTTTGTGCCCCCCGCCACGGGCGCGCCCAACGCCCGCCCCGCACCTGCCCCGACTCCCCCCCTGTCTGCATGTGCCGCGCAGGCGTCAGCCTTTGCTGTGCCCAGGCAGCACGCCAAGCTGCACTCTGGGGTGTCGCTGGCGGGCTGCATCCTCTGCTTCATCACGCTCGCAGTATACTGCGGCTACCAGGTGGGCCAAGGGTGGATGTTTGAAGTTAACGGCTGGGCTGACAGCCGCCTGCTGCTGCTGCGTTCTTGAGGTTGGGGGGAGGAAGCCCGGCAGGAGGCGCGCGAGCAGTGCGGCGCCGACGGTAGGGTCGCGCGTGGCGGGCGGGCAGATGGGAGAGGCGCTTGCATGCTTCGCTGCCTTGCGACACGTGCCGTTCCCCCTCGCACAATTCTACCCCAGCCTCACTGCTGCCTCCGCCGCTCCCCCAATCCCCCCAGGTCCTCACCCCTGCGGCCCAGCGCCGCCGCATCCTGGCGACTCACAAGCACGCGCTGCGCTGCCGCGCGGTGCGGTCCTTCAGCTTTGCCGCGCAGCGCTTTGGGGGCCTGCTGGATGAGGAGGGCGCGGTGCGGCGCGACGTGACGGCGCGGCTCTTCCACAAGTTCCGCCGCGACGAGTGGGTTGCGGGAATAGAGGGTCGGAAAATCAGGGGCGCGAGAGAGGGGGGCAAAGAGGGTCACGAAGAGGAGGGGCGTGAAAGCTGCGGGGGCGCAAACAGCGAGTGCTCGCCCCTAGCCGCGGCTGGGGAA